GGAGTCGAACCCACACAGCAAGGAAGACTTTTGCGCAGCCAACGCTCTACCATTGACTGTAATTAAACCCGCGGCTCATGGTGAGCTCAGTTGGCAGAGCGTTGTTTGCGCAAAAGCCTTCCCTGCTCTGTATGTCGGACTCCCATCGGGACCGCGAATTCTTCACAGTTGGGTCAACTGAATGTTTTATCATATTCTCGCAGGCGCACGTGTCGACCGTTGTCAGTGGCTGAACAAAAGTTTGCTGCGAAGACTCCTTGGGTCAAACCCCTCAGCAGACATTACCTGTCTTTGTGTGCCAGCATATAGAAACGGAATTCCCCTGTCCAGATTACTCATCGCCCAACGACAAGTCGGTGAGGTCAACCATGTGCCTCACAGGCCGTTGGCTCAACGGGGGTGACTTGTGCGTGAATAGATTTATAGTGATCGTAGGTGCCCCCTAAACGGGTCACATGATTGATGCACTGGACTAACACGGGAGGCAGATCGGGTTACGACAGGCATCACTCGGGTTGCGCGCCGATTACAGATGGCGAACATGGGGGGGGGCGGGTAGTGGCACGCACAAGGGCGGCTTCGGTCACGCTAGCCACCTGCGCCCGATCCCACTTCCAGTCTGTCTGACTCCATCTTGATAACAGGCACAGGTAAATGGGGAAAGAGAGAGTACGCAAGTTCACTATCACTTAAAACTAATTCACGTGAAAGTCACTGTCCCTGCATCACCATGTTGTGGAGCGTACGGTTGAACTGTCAGTAATCGTAGACTTTCGGTGCTTATAGCACATTCTCCCCTCGCCTACCCACTCGGGCCCAGTGCTAGGATTGCATTATTTGCATCTTCACGTGAAGTGTAACTTACAATTAAACTACACTAACATTTCAATGTTGAAAAATAGCTCAGTTTGTACAAGCTTTTGTCTTCTCAGAAGGTGCCCATTTAACAGCTTTCCCCTAGGCAGCCACCACTTGGAGTGCAGTCATGCCAACCGAATATGCATAGCATGCTTACAGTCCTTCTGCAGCATTACATTCATTTAGTAATCTTATGACCAGCAGCTGGTGTCATCTGAATTTTGGCGGTCTGTACAACTTCCACTGCCTTCTTTATTTTGAATGGTCGATGTTGGCTCAGATATTTATGCTTACTTACCTATGCCGTTTCCGTTTAATTGCCAGGGCCCGTGTGGGTTCACCTGCCGGAAATGATGCAATCGTCTGCCTGCGTTGCTCCGTGTCAGTGGTCTGGTAAACGAGAATGGCGACAATTCCTGCGTTTTATCATATTTTTTAACACGCATGTGTCGACTGTCAGTAGTCGAAGTCTTTTCGAGTCAGCCCCTTCAACAGAAATTATCTATCCTCGTGTCCCAGTATATTGAGATGGGAATGCAAACTCGGCCGTCGTTTTCGACGATGTCCATCATACGCCCCATAATCAGGTAGTCATGACTTGCGTATGAATGAGTTGATAATGACCGCAGACTTGCGCTGCATCTACCACACTCTCTCCTTCCTCACCTACCTGGGCCCCTGACTGCAATAAGTGGGCTCTCATTGGAAGTTTAACTTGCAACTAAACTACATTACAATCTTAAAGTTGAAAAATAGCCCATTTTGTGCAGCTTTTTTTTCTCACACAGTTCCTAGTTCATTGTATCAGGGTGCTCTTCGGACGGCAACTGTTAGGAGTTTAGCTTGACCAAATGCTAGCAAAATTTATAGGCTTTCCTGAGGCGCCGTGCCTGCAAAATGTCTTTGTTTCCTCGCTTTGACCGCCTACACGCGGTGACTGTCCACGCGCGATGACCTTAACTTCTGGAGAGGACACAGATCCACGCGAGCCTACACGCGTGCCCACTGGTCGCAGTTATCCCAATGCGGCCAATCAGGCCACAAGAGAAGGCGCTTGACAAGCCCTTATATACCACTGTCACCTCTCAGACAGTGAGTTGCACACCGGACTGCGAGGACACCACAAGTCCGTCCCCATTGTGGGGACACACAGTGCTACCGTTATAACAGCAACTACCTGAAGCACAATAATGCTCCCCGAAATTCATACCATGCTTACAGTCGTTCTGTAGTGTTGTATTTCTTCAGTCTCAATTACTAGGCAATCTTGTGTCCGAAAATTGTTAGCTTCTGCATTTTGGCGGTCTGTCAAACTACTTCTGCCATATTAACTCTGAATGGCCAAAGTTGGCTTGGATAATTATGCTTACTAACTTATGGCGTTTTCGTTTAACTGCCAAACCACGTTCGGGTCCAGCTTCCAGAAGTGTTGCAATCTTCTTCTGCACACTTTCAACCCCATATACAGCCTCTTCTTCGCAATTATCTGGAGTGCGCGGTAGCTAGGACTCCCTAGTCTGTGCCTTCTCGCACAATTATAGGAGGGTCATTTTCCGGCGAACTCAGAAGCCGGAAGCCTCTTCCGATTTTTAGTATTCAGCTCGGCCTAAAAAGTGGAGTCGTTTTTCGGAACGTCCCCATCTAGAGTGTCATCATTAGATTAGAATATTTTCCGGGTAAGAAGCTAGCGCGTTTTGCAAGGTTCTGGGGTTTGACATACATTTTATAACCTCTGCAAAGAGGGATTATAAGAATTTCTAACAAAATATGACATAGCTGAGTGATATTCTGATGCTCTCACGAACGTAATCCTGACGCCCCTCTGCTAAGGAAATAGCAAGACGGATTGCTAAAGATATGCAGCAAATTAAGGCGGGCAGAGAACATATTCTTTCCTGTGAGGGAAATAGGACTCAAAACAAATCTTCGTGAACGTTTGAAACGAACACGGACAGAGACCTTCTCAAACTGCATGCTTGCAGCCGGATCATATGCACACTGTCTTGCAGACTCTGAGGGCCCGCTTTGTTGCGTGTATACACAAATCCTTCAAAGTTCGTCGACATTTGGACACTGGGCAAGGCGTGCTTAGAATAACAGCAGATAACATTCTGATGTCATAACAGCGGTAACATAACTGTCTCCTCTAGCTCAATCTAATTCATCAGCAATATTGTTGAAATTTAGGGGAATGGTTTCTGCATCGTCAGAGTCATCGTCATAGTCCAAAGACTGTCCGTCCGCGGTGTCCAGATTGAGACACACCAGAAGACACACAGTGTTAGCGGCATGCTGCAAGTAACTGCATTTTCGTAGCAGACCTTCTGGCGTGTCGATATGCTCGATAAGTTCAATGAGTGCTGGAATTCCGGTTTTAATACCCAAAGTTAAAGTACAATAGGCTAAACTGATAATGCAATGTGAAAGCATCGAGCGGATAGTGAATGTCCTGATATTTAGGACTGATAACTCCTCATCCCCCTTGGCCGATGGCGCCATTGAGAACTGACTAAGGGCAAAAGCCTTCTTGTATCGAATGAGGAAGTAAATGCCAGCAAGCAGGGTGTTGGGTAGAAGATGCAGAGAACTGATCCTGTGAGCAAAATTAGCCAGGATGTTGGCGCTACGACTCTCCGTACAGCTTTGTACACCTAAACTAGTATCCTCAAAAGACAGCGGAATGAATAGGGCGTAACTGATGATAGTGCTGTACAGGGCAATTAGGTGTTTGTAGGTGAATTCAGCGGGGAGTAGTCCCGCTACCTCAGCACAAAGAAGGATATGCAGGCAAACACTAAGGTGTTGAAAAGCGTCCATGGTGTACAGAAAGGTGCGACACATCGGACCAGAAGCTGGAGTAAATAAATCCACCGCGTAATTGGAGTACAAAGAAAACTGTAGGACGTCCATCCATGCAAAGATGAGGTCTACGCTGATGAGGGTGCAGAGAATGAGACGAGTCCGTCCTGAGGGCAGGTCAAATTTACGTAAAGTTTGTGCAAATAAACATGCCACGCTGAGTTGAAGTGTCAGGAGATAGGGCAAAAACCACGAGGGTTGTGGCGGGATCTGGCGTGGTGGTTCTACCACGGGAGCCTTTTCAGGAACGACAATTTCTTTAATCTCACTTTCGGACAAATAATGTACTCCGGTTTGGATAACTTTTGCAATAAAAAGGTTAACGGCGACGAACTTTGCGGGCTGCATTTTTTTTCGCGTGTGACGCGACCAAACGAATGACAGACAACAGCCCTGTTCAAAAGTTAAAATCAATAACTGCGTCCCGTACCTCCCTAGGTGGGCGTGGAATTGCAGGGGGATATTTTTCAAGATAAAGCAAATTAGCAACCCCGCTATAAAAGAGCAAGCAGCAATGGCTGCCCCGAGTCCTCAGCCTACAGCCGTTTCGGGCTCTTCTGTTATCGGCCCAAGGCGTCCGATTCTAGAGTCCGGAGATTGTGATAAAGAAAAGGAAATCAAGGCTGATGAATCCTTAAAAAAACAACAGAATCCATCTGCTCGAGGGGATCGAGGAGACTTTGCCACGGAGGGAGAACTGACTTCAATGGAAGGAAGACCTTTG